ATCATATCCAAGCATCATGCGGATTAATTTCAACAAAAGATAGTCCAACAATTTTGTATGAAGATAATGCTGCTTGTATGGCACAACTCAAAAGAGGTTACATCAAATGTGACATGACGAAGTATATTTCTCCAAAATTCTTTCATGCACACGAGTTTCAGAAAAATGGCGAAATCAATATTCAACAAATTCGTTCAAGTGACAATGTGACTGATTTATTTACAAAAGCATTGCCAATATCTACATTCAAGAAATTGGTTCACAAGATTGCAATGCGTCGACTCAAAAATTTTCAGCGATCAACATTAGGGGGAATAGTCGTACTTTTTTTCCTTCGCTTAGGTTTTATCCCAGTGTGTTTTCCTAACAAGATTTTAATGAGGCAGCATTTATTTTTAATGCTCAAAAATAATTGTACTCTTTTTCTTTCGTTTGATTTTTTTGTCCCCTTGGGTTTTCAAACAAGGTTTTACGATGCAGTTATTTTACAAATAATCATCAAATGGGGAGTGTTGTAAAATTATTTCACGGGGGAGTGTCGGTGAATGATAATTGTACCCCTAAATCCCTAGAAATTATTACCATATGTATCCCTATTCCTTCTCTATAAGTATAGGACTTTGATTCACATTATAATAGAGACAAGTTTATTGACTTTTATTCTCTCTTCTCTTTTTCTCTCTTTTCACAACAATTTTTTACTTTTTTTAAAGTTAATACGATGCCTCTCTCTCGTCCATCTATTGTAATGCTGCAGACTACCGTAGTGCCTCATGAACCAAGAATCTCTCCACCATCGAATATAACGAACTTGGTTTATTCATGAATTTCAAACTCATAGCCCGTAAGTGCAAGCCCTCCCTTCAATTTAGCCTCCTTTTGCCAAATTCATAAACCATTTGTAAATTGTTCAAATTTTATTTCTAATCAAACGTACTAATGGATCAACAAGTACTAACCAATTGTCCATTACTCGTTTTTATATGTTTTTCCCAAATGGAGGCTCAAACGGACGCTAAGTGATTACAGCTTAAACGAAAATTGAAAACTTCCTCAAACAACACTTGATAATTAAAACAGCAAGACATTGTCCACTGAGATTGAATGGGTTTTCTCGCTGATTGCATTGACCAAAAGAAACTCGTATCTTATAATCTAATAAGAGACCATTTTATTTTTTCTTTGTCAACCACTGCAAATCCTTGTACTCATTTTTGTAAGCTTAATCTTCACATTATTTTCCTTGGCCTTCCATCTGTGCTTTTTGCAATGTTGATTGTGAGGCATGACAGAATATTTGATGCTCTACCTTCATCTAGATGCTTTCCTTTTAGCCATCCTCATCAGTGGGTTTCCTAAATGATGCATTTAAATGTTACCAAATATGAGATACTTCACCTCGTCAATGTAGTTGTTGGAGTAGTTTTCTCCACCCTTTATTAGCCCTTTGAGTAGTATCATCTTCCAGGGAATTATCGTTGAGAAAGGCAGTAGGATTAATGACCCCGCCGCAAACGGAAGAAAAAAAGCTTCTGTACCTGGGTATATTCCATATGCCAAAGCTGCATAGCTTGCCGAAAATAGCAAAAGAGGTAGGAAGAGAAACAATTGGAGTGGATCAACCACAAGTATAAAACACGTTCCCATTGCAAGTCCAAAGGCGATTGTGTTGAAAAATATATTTATTTTTGCAATTCTTGTGGCTTTGTTGTAGAAGTTGGTGCTAGTGGAATTGGTTGAAGTAGTAGCATTATAGACAGAAGTGATGCTGGGAAAAACAGGAGTGGTATCAATGTCAGAAATCCCTAAAGGGGGAGTGAGAGCGACTTGAAATGCAGCAGTTGCAATAAGAACAACTGCTACTAGGATACTGTTTCACGTATTAGCTGACATACCGAAATCCAGGTAAGCACCAAATCTGATAATAAGATCTTTCCACGTTAAATTTGACTTCAAGTAATTTTCAGTAGTGTTAGAATCATCGACAAGTGATGAACCATCTCTAGCTCCTGCGCTCATTAAAATTTCCCTTGCTTCAACATTTCCAGGTTTTAGGATATCCAATGCCGTCTTACCTTCTAAGTTCTTCTCGTTCACATTCACAAGCCTGATTAATGACTTCATAACCTGAAAACATAAACAAGAAGTTGTTTTTAAAATTATGAATGAACAAAAAAAGTATTTGTTGGAATTTGGTTTGAAGATTGAAAAATTTGATTAGGTATAAAACTTCAAAAGTGACTTTGTGTCAAATTCGGCCAAATATTCGGATTTGATCCGAGAGTCAAATTATAAATATAAATAGGCTAACTTGTTCTATTCATTAAGAAGATCGTCGTGGTATATTTGGAATTTCAAAACCAATTCTAGATGAACGAGTAATTACTGTCCAAAGTTGGATGGAAAAGAGGAAAAAACTGGCCGGGAAATTTGCCTAACTCCACCACTCGCCTAGCTCTAGAGCAATAGGCAGGCGAAAAAGTTTCTAATGAACAACTGTCACTATCATTCGAGCGAAAGACTAGCGACAAGCTAGGGACAGCAAGGGATGCTTCCCTTCGTAAAGGTTGCTGAGTTTGAAATGTAACACTTCATTCACAACCTCTTATCTTCTATAAATATGACTCTTTGGATGTCCATTATATATCTCATATCATTTGTATTGAGCATTATATCAAAAATTCATGAAAAAATCTCCAAAAATAATTTTCTTGTAGAGGGAAGAAATTCGCTCGATTTCATTATTGCTTGTGGTTTGAAGTACTTTGACCACAAGTTGGATCCATTGTATCTTGGAAGACAAGTGCTGTAATGTGTTAGTATCGTTGCGAGGCAATTTTGTTTTAAAGAGAAAGTGTTAATCACTTGCCTCGGATTTCATTATTCACATTTTCTTTATTTTCTTTTTTGCTTCTCTTTTCATAGAGTTTAATTATGCTCCTGTGAATTAAACTTAAATATTACTTTTCATTCAATTAAACAACCATTTCACTATACAATATCGCCAACAGTATTTGCTAAACAATACCTATGTTGATGGTAGAAATCGGATCAACAAATTCTCTCACCTAACTATGATTTTCTCCTCCTAAGCTCTCTGGTTTCGATGCTCAAACTTGGAATAAGAGGGAAAATATATATTTGTTTGGGAAATATCTGAATTGCATAGTTTTCTCTTCAAAAGTGAAGAGTATTTATAGATTTGTCTTCAAGCTTTGGGGTAATATGGTCATTTAGGGAGGGGTAATAAATGGCAATCTCTTATTAGCTATCTTGTAATTGATTCTATTAAGAGCATCATATTTTATTTTATTGATCCATGTGTTATTTTATTGATGGTTGCGTCCAGCCTGGATGGGAGAAAGATTTGTCTACTTTGGGTGAACCTTTTATGCTCTTATTTCCCTCGTGTATTGCTTTTATACTTTGCAAGTAGTGGAATAGGTTCGCGGATCGCGTTTCATGGTTCAACAAATAGTCTCCGAAGTCCGATTTTACTATTGATATTAAATCTAGGACTTATTAAGCTTTTAGGATTATGCAAGCTTATTTATGTTCATATCTCTTTGTTGTGGATTATGTTGGCCATTTTAAAGGGACATGCTATGATTGCCGCAATTACTTGCGTGCGTTATAGGGCGTTTTAAGTATTTCTAGGTTAGTGGCATGTATGCGTTTAACGTGCATGTCAACTACGCATTAATCGTATCCGTCCCTTTTGAATTCCTAATCAGGTGCTCCTTGATATTTAATGGTCATGATTTCCTAGATGATTTGTTTAGGTGAGTAATCCTATAGCTCTAATCCCTTTTCAGGATACATATAAATCCATTATTCTTCATTGGGGGTTTCTTTCTTACTTCTTTTTGATTTTTACCATATTTGTGGTATGTTAGAATATATGCAAGCTCACTTCCAGCTCCTGCAACACCAGCTTACACGATCAGCAGCACCTTCCAGTCAGCAGCACCTTCAGCAATAGCAGATCACGTTCAGCATGCTTATTGCCTTCTTCCAGATCCTTCTAAATTCACCAGCACATGTAGCTCCTTCTAGTTCCTTCCTTAGTTTGTTATATTGTTAAGTTTGTTAGATAGTTTGTTATATTTTTCTCTATAAATAAATTAGTGTGCATTGTAATTTCCTAAGTTGAATGGAATACATTCCTCTTCCCTGCTGTAACAGCAGGTTTACCATTTTCTTCCTGCAATGGCTGGTTTCCAGTTTTATTTCTGTTTCATGTTTTCTAATATGGTATCAGAGCAAGGTTCTTCATTGCTTCTAGCTGAGCCTCTGCTATTCAGTATTCATTTTCTCTAAGCATGACAGATCTGAATTGATTACCCAGAGAAACCGTCTGCAATTCTTGACGGAAAGTCTACCAAATTTTACTGAAAATTCATCTCCATCAATGACTGAAAATGTCCAGTCAGATTTTCGATCAAAGGGAACAAATCAGTCCACCGAATTTAGCCTTTGTGAAGGTTCCAAATTTTGGAGTTATCAAGAGCTACGAAGAGATGTGTTCTTCCTCTTCATCATTTTTTTTACTTCATCAGAGCTTTAATGGCTGAAAATGAAGAAAACAACAGTAGCTCTAATATAAATCAAAATCCAACACCATTTCAAAACTCAAACTCAAATCCAAATCAAAATTCAAAGGATCCGTTTCTACCAAATCAGTTTTCTCGGATTTCCTTCAAAGTGTTTGACAAAAGTTCCAAATGACATTCTACAAAACCAGATCTGAAAAACCAGATCAATTCTTCCTCATCATTGAGTTATTCCGCCATTGATGATGGATCCAAATCATTTACCAGATTTTCTTGCCTCCTGGATAAATTACAAGAGGCCTTTCTTCAATTCTCTCTAGCTTTGTACTAGAGTTTTTTCATGGAATTTATTCTAATTCCATTATCTATGTTCTTCTCCTTATGGATGATAATTCATGGTTAGTAACCCATGCCAAATCTGAAGATAACTTTGGCTTCAGATCCAGCCTTGTTCTGGAATTTTTTCTCTTCACCAGTTTATTGGCTTTCAATCCAACTGGTGCAAATTCAGCAAGATCTCCAGCCTCTACAGCAGCTCATTCAGTTTGACGTTCTGCATCAGCCTACTTTCATCTTCAAGATGGACTATTGTTGATCTCCATAGTCCATCTTGAGGGGGGTGTGTTAGAATATATGCAAGCTCACTTCCAGCTCCTGCAACACCAGCTTACACGATCAGCAGCACCTTCCAGTCAGCAGCACCTTCAGCAATAGCAGATCACGTTCAGCATGCTTATTGCCTTCTTCCAGATCCTTCTAAATTCACCAGCACATGTAGCTCCTTCTAGTTCCTTCCTCAGTTTGTTATATTGTTAAGTTTGTTAGATAGTTTGTTATATTTTTTTCTATAAATAAATTAGTGTGCATTGTAATTTCCTAAGTTGAATGGAATACATTCCTCTTCCCTGCTGTAACAGTAGGTTTACCATTTTCTTCCTGCAATGGCTGGTTTCCAGTTTTATTTCTGTTTCATGTTTTCTAATATATACCTCATTTTTTTTGTTTATATTCTTCTTCAGAAGTTTTTCTTTGCATTTTACTTTTGTTTAGCATTTGCGATTTTTTTTATTACTATGTCTTCTCAGAGTAACTTCCGAAATATATCACAAGACCTAAAGTGAAAATTTCTAGACTTAGGGATTCTTCCCCATGTGCATTTTTTTTCCTGAAGGATCTCAGTGCACTGAGACGCGACCTTTTCCTAGAGTTAATCCCTCTACTTACGGGGTAGCCTACAATTCTCTAATTTAGGGGATAGTTTTCGTTCCAGGGTAAATGAGGTTCGCGACCCTTCGAATGATTCGAACGAGAATCTTAGGCACCAAGAGGTAATCGAGGCATCAGAGTTTTTTACTAATATTATCGAGAAGGACTTGGATGAAATCGGGACTGATTTGGTGTCCCTGCTTAGAGTTGCTATGCCCTAGGTAATTCCAAACTTCAGATTGTCCTCCCCATGATTGCATAGCTATTCATAGTAACTCAATGAATATGGGGCTTAGGATCCCTTTTCACCCTTTTTTCACATTATTTTCTCTTCCTTTAATATTGATCCTATCCAACTTATACCAATCAGGTTTTCACTCTGTTTACCATCCCATAAAAGTGGTCAACACAATGCACCCACAGAAGGGATATTACTATCTTGCCCTTCGCTCTACCCAATGCTTATTAGGGTCGGCCCTAACTACAGGCAGCATAGACGATTGCCTAATGCCCCGCTTTGATAAAAGTCTCAAATTATGTAAGGTTAATAGACTAGTTGAAGAAGAACGAAAATTATAATTACGAAATTAACCTTAGTTTAAAGTCATATTAGTTCGTATTTTTCTGTTTTATTAGTTTCTCATATTTATAATCTCATATTTTCGTATAAAGTCATATTAGTTAGTTAGTAGATTAATCTAGAAATAATTAATATAGGTTTTTTGTTATGTTACATTCGAATTTGATAATGGATGAATAAAATTCCAAATTCAATTTGAAGTTTATTCATCGTGTGACGATATTCTACTCATTATATATATTATTAATTGTCAGCGATCTCGTACTCTTAAATGACTTATATGAACAAATATCATAATAATATAATATTAAATATTTATCTAAGACAGTATATTCTACATACTTATTTTGAAAGAAAAATTAATAAAAAAATCAAAATTCTTGAAATTAGGAAATAAAAACATACTTTATACAGAAGAAAAGTTCAAATACTTGTATAATACCAAAGGACCTTGGAAGTACCTAAGGGTCAAAATTAAATGGGGTACTTACAAAAATACCCTTCAAATTAGGGATGTTTTGAAAAATCATTAGTTTCCCCAAAAGAAAATTAAAAAGTAGGACACAATAGAACACGATGAAGAATGTGTACATTGTTTCACCCTATTGGTAAAGAAATTGTACAGGAATATAGCAGCCCGTTCCAAGACCAATTATACAATTTTTTTGTTGGCTAAATTTGGGTAGACATTGTCTAGAAAGGACCTTTTTCCTTTGAATAATTCTTGGTGTACATAAAATTTGGTACATAGGGGTGTCCACACCCCCACATGTGGGTCCCAAATGTGAGGGTATGGACACCCCTATGTACCCCATTTTATGTACATGTTGCATCTCCCCCACATGTGAGGGTGTGGACATCCCTACGTACTTCATTTTATGTACATGTTGCATGTCTCTTTTGAGTCCCACCCCCATGTGAGGGTGTGAATACCCCTATATACCCCATTTTATGTACATGTTGCATGTCCCTTTTCCTTTTTACCTTTTAGATAGTTTGACGGATTTTTAGTCTCTGCGCAATATTTACAAGTGTATTTACAAATTAAACGCTTGAAGATGATAATGAGTTTTGGTTTTTGAGAGATGAGGGGACTGTCCAGAAATTAACTATATTTTTAGAACAATAAAAATAATAGAATCTCTATTGAAAAGGGATAAGAAGCATAGTGGGAATTTTAGCATGGTGAATCACACGTGTGATTTTATTTGATTTTTAGAAAAGACAGAAATAGTCCATGATTGGTAAAATATTTGACTGCCCTATGATTTTATTTGGATTTTAAAAAGAAAGTTTGATGCTAAATAAGCTATTTTTTTTTTGTAACTTAAAAAAAGTCTATTTGTTGGTTAAACTTAAAAAAAAAAAAAATTTACTGATATTAATATTAAGGTCTACCTTATTATAACTCTGCTTCTGTATTTTTTATACACTAAAGTACTTTTTTAATACAAATCCAACAAGTTCAACTATTTATAAGCTAAATGCACTATTCTCTTGTGTGATGACAAAATATAATGCAAAAGTTGTCAATGTTCGTTGTTTATCAGCTATCAATGAAATTTAAAATTTTTTGAATAGTAATTATACTTTCAAGGTTATTTTTCCATGATCAATAAATAATGTTGTAGCCATTTCGATTCGTCTTATATATTAAAATAATTCTGCTTGCCACATCAACCAAATTGTTAATTTCCAAATGTAACTAGAATGAATAATGGATGAAATACTGTGTTCAGGAAAAAATTTAAATATTATCGCCGGTTTAAAAATGACTTAAGGGTTCGTTTGTTAGAGCTTTAAAAAAGTTAAAAACTATTTTTATCGAAAACTGCTTTTAAACCTATTTAATTATAATTTTATGAAAGTGCTTATTTTGTTAGTTATTAAAAGAGATTTTAAAGAAAGCTGGTGAACATGTCTTTCTATAGAAAGCAAAAGTAAAAATCATGTTAAATGTATTGTAAAAGTACTTAAATGAACTTATAAAAAATTAATATAAGATATATCTTATCATCTCTTACCATGCTTCCCCTAAAACGAGATAATTAAATCATTGCTCGCCAACATTTACCTTATATTACCACTTGCTCATCCAATTAAAAAAAAGTTACTCGTTGCTCACTCATCTTTCAAAGGCTTACCCATCCATTGATAGAAAAACATAATAGGATTATCGATCGAAACAATAATCAAATCTTTAATTCTCAATAATAACCATCGATCTTACTCCATGTTGAAATCCGAAAAAATAACAAAACATAAAAACATAGCTTGATCCATGATAATCTGATTCTTTTCCTTGATAGGTTAGGCTCTTCCAAATGATTGGTAATCTTCCCTTAGCTTTTTGCTCTCTATTGATGGGGATGTAGAGAAACTTGAAGAACACCAACAAATGAGGACCATAACCATATAAAATAATAGTAGTGACTCAATAGTCACTATCTTTTAGTTGCTTCAAATTGGCTCCTCATCAATTTAAAACAACACTCAGGTCTCTACACTATAATTTCATGAATTCTAATACCCATTAGTCACAATACATTTTTATCAGATCACTTTAATTGACTAATATCCGTTAAACAATAGCACCGCACATTTCAATATACAACGTGTGGCCCGCATATATGTTGAAATTATCCAACATCCATCACTCCTTCCAAATCCATTACCCACAATTAACGGAAATCGCCACATATACAACGGAAAGCTGATTGGGCATATTTTGTGTTAATTTGTCCACTTGTCTGGAACACGCTTGCTTCCTATGAACCCATGAAATCAAAATCCCTAAATTGTAAACTCAAAATTGCCAAAAATTGAAATCGAAGAAGCAAATGTGGAAATACAATTTCGAACTTCAGAATGGTACCATTGAGACTCAGAAGAATGTATTGGAGAGATGTGTTGCAACAGAACCAAAGCATGGTGAAAAATGGCAAGCAATATCAAAGGCTGTGAAGAATTCTCACCAGCCAACCGAAGTCATCTTGAAGAAAGTGGTAGTTGCACTTGAAAAGGTAGAGAATGCTGCTGAGAACAAGAAGAACTAATCAACACCACTGTCGATCTTCATTCTTGCCATGGTCAAATCAGTATTGACATTTTAATCAACAACTTCAAAGTTTCAAATTGGCACTGGAGAAAATAAGGCTTCTTTTCCTATGGTCGTGGTTACTCTTGATCAGAGCGTTTTCTATCTAACAATGTAAAGTTTATAACTATATATCCATACAATTTTTTAAACTCGAAGTACTGAAATATATTTGTTTGATCGACTAGAATGGCTAATTACCCACATTGACTATCATGACAATGGCAATGACCCTAAATTTTGAATTTGCAGGGAATAGCAATGGGAAAAAGTATGGAAGTCAATTCGTCAGCAAACTAGACATTGCAGATGCAGAGCCACTTCAACGGGGTTCCTCCAAAGCTACTTTTTGCTACTGTAGCATTATCAGGATTCGATAACTCAACTGTCTTTACTTCCCCGCTATTGTTCATGAACTGCAAATCTCGAATGCTATAAAATCTTCCTCCTTCCTCATCATCATCATCTTCTTCTTCTAGATTAAGGTTTTCTTTGCACAATTGGGAATTTCATTTTTGGGCAGTTTTGTGTTTACAGTTTGGAGATTTTGATTTTAACAGTTAAATAAAGCAAGCGTGTTCGAGACAGGTGGACAAATTAATGGACAAAATATGTCAAATCAGCTTTCTGTTGTATATGTGGCGATTTCCGTTGATAGTGGGTAACGGATTTGAAAAGAGTGATGAATGGATAAACATTTGGAAAGACGAGTGAGCAACATGTAATTTTTTTTAATTGAATGAGCAAGTGGTAATCTTGGCGAGGAATGATTTAATTATCTCTAAAACTACCGAAACCATTAATCCTAATATCATTTTCCACTCGTCACCTCTGACTCAGCGGCGGACCCAACACTCTACGAGGGGGCTCATCCGCTTCTGCAGGGCTCCGCTGGAACAATGATCTGAAGTGAGGAAGAAGGAGACCAGAGCAAGAGACGGAGGTGAGGGTTTTTTCTCTTTTTTGTTTTGTTTTGTAATTGGATCTTTTAGTTGGGTTGAAATTAAAATGTATTGGAGTACTTACAAAAATACCCTTAAAATTAGGGACGTTTTGAAAAATCATATGAAAGGTTTTTAGGAAGTAAAAAATACTGTGTAAAATGAAAAAAGTGGCATAATGTCACTTTTTTTATAAAAATTGTCACTTTTTTACTTTTTCAAAAAAAGTGACATAAACTTAAAAAAAAAAAGTGACAAAACTAAAAAAAAAGTGACATACACTCTTAAAAAGTGATACAAACTCAAAAAAGTGAAACAAACTAAAAAAAAGTGACAAATACCAAAATAGCACCAATCCACATGCTTATTAAAAAGTGATATTTGTTACTAAAAAAGTGACAAATTTTTAAAAAGTGATAGGAAAAAAGTGATAGAAATTAAAAAGTGACAATTTTTTTCATAATGTCACCTTTTTTTATAAAAATTGTGACGCGGACTCAAAAAAAGTGACAAAACTAAAAGAGAATGACAAATACCAAAATAACATCATCCATCTGCGCAGCACCAATAATCATATTCTTAAAATAATCACCATATTCAGGCCAATCCACATACTGACTATGTAAAAAAAAAAGTGACAATGAAAAAGTGAGTCACCGTCACTTTTTAAAGTTAAGTGTCACTTTTTTATTTTAAAAAAAAACATAGAATGTCACTTTTATTAAAAATTGATGTTTGTTATTTAAAAAAGTGATAGAAATAAAAAATGTGACTGAAAAAAGTGATAAACGCTAAAAAAAAGTGACAAAATACAAAAAAAATGACAAATTTTAAGAAAAGTAACGAATTCAAAAAAGTGGCACAAATTAAAAGAAGTTATACGATTAAAAAAGTGACAAACACTCAAAAATGGCATTATTGTTTCCTAGTATTAGTCCCCAACTCGTAACATTGCCATGGTAGAATTATAAAAATCAGCACAGATATCAAACCATGATACGTAATTTTCTCCCTTTGTTCTTGTGCAATTACCAACAATACATGCAAGAAAGCCTCCAGTTGGCAGAATGTCAATGTCATCGGTAGCTTACATAGATTCAAAAATCAGACAACCCAAAACGACAATTTGTACAAAAAAAAAAGAAAAAAGTGTAAATACAAAACATAATTCTTCAAAAATATTTCTTTTCAAAAGCAGTATACAAAAAACCATAATGCTGGCTCTCCATCTTTCACCGAAAACTCAACCCTTTGAACAATTTATAGATACCCCCTTGTAATTCCACATCAAAAACTTTCCATTCATTTCAATTTCACAGACTCTCAAACGAAAATAAAGTTCACGCTATTTATCCCTGTAGCTTTTCTGTTACTCTTTTCCATTTCTTCAGTTTCTGAACATTTTTCCCCAATATCATTTCAATCCCACCTTCGTTAATCCCGAATACAACAATACGGGAGGCTTTTAATAAGCTTATGGGTTGCCGTAATGGTTAAAAGAAAATTGATGAATTAACCAAATTCAAGAAATATTTACAGACTTTGGTTATTTGAATTCTTCTTATTCTAATTACTCAGATGATTTTGATGAATATCTTGAATCGGCCGTCAAAACTTACCAGCTGAATTTTAATCTGAATCTCAATGGGGAACTTGACGAATAAACGTTAAAGCACATGGTACGACCTCGATGCGAAAACGCCGATGTAATCAATGGAACTTCAACTATGAATTCCGGTAAGCAACCTAGAACTTACAGTACAAATTCTACCATTCATTTAGTGGTTGAAGGCGGTGAGAAGTCAAGATATGAGAGACCTTTACCTTCTTCTTCTGCAGATGGACGACATCGAGGCGAGAGACGAGTGACTCAAAGACGAGTGAGATTGTTGAGAGAATTCAAGTCCGGGGGTAATTAATACTGTAAAATAACTTTATTTTAGTTTGAAGGGTATTAATCAAAGATGATTTTTTTTAAGGGTAGTTGGCCTAATTTTCCCAAATTAATAGTTTAATGATGGGTAATTGGATAAACTTTTCTTTCAAAATTATATCAAGTTTACCAAATATCTAAATAATTTTGATTGTCTGAGAATGAAAATTTGGGGCTTTGAAATTAATCTCAAACTGAAAGTGTTGTAATCATCCATAGTGTACTCTAAACCTTGAAATAGGGTGAAGATCTAGCATAGGAGATCAAAGTAGACCTCAACTCGGATGCGGGACTCCTAATTTCTATTTAGTTCGGATTTTTCAAAATTCATTTTTAATCAAGCATATTATAATAAATAATTTTAGAAATGAACCCATAACTTTTCTTTTATTTTAAATCATAATTTTTTCAAAAATATCATTTTCTCATAAAATCTATTCTAAAAAATTTCTTACATCAAACATGCCTAAGAACAAACCTAGATAAAAACTTTGTGTTCTTTGCTTTAGTACTTTCTTGGGATTTATAGGGTCAATAATGTCAATGGTTTTGACAAGCCTCACATGAGCCCTGTCGTCGCTTCCTAGTAGTGGGTCGGGTTCAGGTTCAGCTTCAGCTTCAGCTTCAAGTTTAATAAAAGAATTATTTATTGATGAAAAATAATTAAAGGAGCTTTTAGGGAATTCATTCTCAATTAAATAAAGGGGAATTTTCAAAAATGTGACTAAATTTAAAAATCCAAAAAAATTGTCACTTTTACTTTTTGTAAGCAATAATGTCACTTTTTTGATGCAAAATGTTCAAAATATCCTTAATACCACCCTTTTAGGAGCATTTAATGTTTGATTTGAATGTAATTAATGTTGTGATGTGATGATTTACTTTAAATATTATAAAAATTGTTTATATGTATATTATATTGAGTAATAATAGTCTTCTTTTAAAAATAAAAATAAAAGAATTTGAAATATTAATATAACTACACATTCTTCTTCCCATTAACAAACTCTAACATCATCTCCATCTTCTTTATTCATTGATCAAGAGCACATTACAATTGAATTTATCATCCATTTTGAGAGATTAGTCATCACAAATTATTTATAATTTTATCTTATATATTATTATTTCTTAGATGTTTAAATACAATATTGTCAAATGCAATGTGAGAAATTTTTGAAACTATTATTCATTGATTTGTTTGATTTTTGAAATATTTGTGAAAGATAAAACTATCAATATCCTTTACATAAATGAAGGACTCCATATTTAATGAAGCATTGAGTTGTTTATTAATGAGAAAATGTTTTCATGTGTTAATTGAAAAATAATTATCACCATTAATGTTTTCAATAATTTCTTCAAAGGTACAAAATACATGTTTTTCAAATTTCCCGGCAGTTCCTACTCAACATCTGTGGAACAGTTATGTTGAAACTGTCGGCTTAGACATGTGAACTGTCGAACCCGAAATTTATGAACTGTCGGGATAGACAATTTAACTGTCGAATTCGTCCTGAACTTGAGTAGACCACACATACGACGTAAGCGATCCAAATTCGAGACTATCACACGACTCAAGAAATGCACTTGCTGCAGTATAGTTGGTACGATGTAACACAACCGATCAACATGTGTAAACCACCCATAACCGGACAACATGTTCGCACCCCGCTGCAATACAACCGATGTAAACAAGCTTTATATCCGGAAGTTGCTGAAGTAGTATGTTAAATGTTTCCCAATGACGTTGTACAATCTGAATTTATGTTATCGTTTTCTTTTTATTATCGTTCGCAGACGTTATTACTCGTTATGTTCACATATTATAATTTGAACTTGCATTATTATTTCCAACTTATATTGTCATTCAGAATTCATTATCGATTGCAGACAGTAGTAGACATGTCTACATTCACAACTAAAAAACTGATTCCTTGACATAATACAGCATGACAACTCGACAGTTCATCTGTCATTCCCGACAGATTGTTTCTATCGTTCTCGACAGTTGGCACAGAATACAAACTATAACTACACATACGAGGCATAACGGATGTGTTGCTACTGACTCTTTGGTAAAGACTGTTATCAAAATCATCACTGACAAAAGTCAATACAAAAGAACTTGACACTTATTCATTTGTACACAACCATATAATTCTCAAGTTTACAGTTTGTGAAATTTAAGCAACTGACGGGACAATTATACATGAATATTTTCCAACAATGTTTATCCCTGTAAAGACCCAATTGGAGATCTACAACTGTATTGAATTATTAATTTTAATACATATTGAATTGGACGTCTACAACCTCGGCAAGGAATTCGAGGCATGAGTTGCGAAAGTCTTGGCGCTACAGTTCATCCAAATGGTCCATGACTCTTATTACATACTTCAGGTTGCTTCGCCAAGAAATACGGGCCCGCAACCTTGTATTTTTCCAAGAATTCGAAATTCATCTATTCTGCAAGCAACAACAAGAAAATAAAAAAAAATATCAGATCGTGATATATGGTAGATGTTGATGCCAAAGTACAACAACAAATTACGAAACACAATTTAACGAAATAATAAGAACATGATATAAGAAATAAAACGAACATCAACAATAGTACGAAAATCAGAACACACGAAACAATATATTATAACTGCACGAAAACAAATGAAAAATTGTGGTGCACAATAATGTGTCGAGAAAAACTGAGAAGAACTTTCGAATCTCGACAGTTCATCTGTCAAGATTCTCCCATCTGCCGAGAATTACCACGGTGAACTGTCGGGAACTACAGTTTATGGCGATGATATTTCTCTACTGAAGTTAACTGTCAGGAAATTACTTCTACATAGCACACATGCATGACTTAATCATACAAATTATGATTTCATTTTTATACATTCGATTAAGGGTCTATTTAATACATGATTTCATATCTATTCCATTAGTTACAAATTTCGTCCTCATTACCCATAACAAGCTAAAGTCATAGAAAAAATATCTGAAAATGATCGTATTCATTATTTACATTTTGTATCATTATCGAGAAGAGCACAAATGTGAAGAAGAAACAAGAAAATCGAAATCCATAGCAGAAACCACAAAACCAATTCATTATCAAAATCAAACTAAAAGTGAAAGGATGAATAAAATTTTATAGCATTTATATTTTTATCACTAACTTGAACAATTCTTAAGTAAAAAAAGGTCGAGAATTCATAATAGATTAAGGGAATAAAGAAGATCCAATACCTATGCCTAACCTTGAAAAATGGTAGTAAACAACCTTGAAAAATGTTAATAACATATTCGACTTGAGAAATTACCAAATATAAATTACTAAACTAGCAAGAAAAAATTAACCTCTGTACAATCATTCGAGCTTCGTAGAGAGATGATGAGAGAAGATTTAAGGTATGTGGAATTGCAATTTTAATTCAATCTAGGGATGAATCAGTTTATGAAGTTGAAGAAATGAGGATTCTTGATGAAGTTGAAGAAATGAGGATTCTAAGGATTGAATGAGATTTTGTAATAATGATTAAACCAAACCCAATTACCTTTGTAGATTTTTAAGTACCATTGTGAAGTGATTGATTGTTTTGTACTTTTTTATGTTTTCAATTCAAGGATGTGTAGTGTATTTAAATTCTCTAGAGGGGCAAAAATGTCAATTTTGCAAACACTTTTAAAAAGTGACATTTTTGAAAATGTAAAACCAAAAATTGACATTTAGTGTAATTTCCTCTTAAATAAAAAAATAAATGGAGGTTTAGTCAAAGGAACATACCTGTGATTGGTTTGTTAATGCTGCAAGATGCATCATGGTATTGCCTTCCTCGTTTCTCCATCCCAACACTGTTTTATTATCGCTCATCTTAATCCAACCAAGTAAAACCCAAAAAGCTCTAATATTGTTATTTCTAACAGCAATATGCACAGTAGTCTCATCTCAAATGGTCAATTCATTTATTGAGGATGGACATACGAGAAGATAATAAATCAAAAGATCGATGTCATTTTTTTCCACTGCATAATGCAAAAGAGTGATCCCTTCCCTCCCTGGTACACGAGCAAGCTCCAGATCATGCTTGACAAGTCGTTTCACAGTGTTCGTGTGTCCATTACCCAGAGCCAGGTGCAGTGGACTAAAACCATCAGTTCCAAAGCCAGGTGCAGTGGACTAAAACCATCAGTATGAAGAGGTGACTCCACAAATGCTATCTCATTGGAGATATACAAGTACTCTGGATTTTCGTGTATTTTTCTATACAAGGCAACGATATTTGGATTTTGAACAGTGTTCATTCTGCAAACTCGAAAAGTGCTCTGAGTATTTCAATAAGCAACCGTAAATTTATATATATTTCCTCACCTACTTTCCTTAAATTATAATATATTTTCCGCACCTAGCAGTCAAACCCACTAGAATATTTTTGATAAAGTATTTCAAAGTAACAGAATAGTTTTTAAAGTCTTGCCGACATGGATTAATCATGTGAGAACCCGTCTTTCTCATCACCAACCTCACTCAATGAATTTCCTCATTGTTGATTTTTCTTCTATCCTATTGCATTTAAATAATATGTTATAATCAAAAGCGTATAAAAAGAAGAGCTTTGCTATTCACCCATTATCACGTGGACCCTGAACGAACAGGGGGCGCCATGTGCGCCCTTGGAGAGAAATGGCCAACATGTCTTTCTAGCAAAACCCTAGAAAGAAAGCTCAACTACAAAATTTGGAATCAAATGCTAATTTCTAGTAAGTGTATTTTGCACACATCCGGACCGTTAAATGAGATTAATTGTTTTAGATTTTATGAATTATTTTTTAATTATATATATTTTGCTTATAAGGAGAAACTTGATGCACTTTGGTGATCATTGTGATGCTTTCATTATACACACCCAAATCACTGGGTCTTTGATGCATAAATATGCTACAAAATATGAGATATTTCACCTCATCAAGGTTGTAGTCATACTTGTTATCACCTCTTGTGAGCACTTCGAGTAGTATCATCTTCCGAGGAAAATGAAGGTATGGACGTTTTGCACAATAATAGTTAAAGATATAGATGTTTTGCGCTATTTACCCCTGTTTAAAAGTAAATTTACTATTTGCTTAGAAGTAAATTCACTTTTTTTTATCTTCAGTCATGTTCAATAACTTTTTTTTCAAAGTAAAAAAGCTTCTTTTTAAAAAGAATCTTACCTACTTATAAGTAAATTTACATATAATTGGTTTTAGTTTATTTGTTAACATTTGTTATAAGTTTTTATTTAACAATTAAGCTAGTTGTACACACATTATGTACACTTCAGTTGACACCTCCTATGTGTAAAAAAAATCGACCATTGTTTAAAATAAAATATTGTTAAAATCAATGTATAGAAATTTGTAACTCACATAGGAGTCAACGTAGATGTACATGTAGCATGATTCTTTATTTAATTAGTTTTAGTGGGTATAATATTTTCATCATCTATCTTATTTTAATTTGGAATACAATTTACTTGCATTTATGGTTTTCAATCTTTTCTTATTGTAGTATTCATTTTCTCGATTTTTTGTCTTTGCATTTTTATATCTAACCTTCAATTACTCAGTCCATTCGCCGAAAATAACAAAAGAGATAGGAAAGAAGCAATTGGAATGGATGGAGTGCAATTATAAAACACGTTCCCATTGAAAGACCAAAGGCGATTGTGTTGAAAATTATACTTATTTTTGTAACCCTTGGGGTATTGTTGTACAAGTTGGTGCTGGTGGAATTGGTTGAAGTAGTAGTATTATAAACAGAAGTGATGCCAAGAAAAACAGGAGTGGTATCAATGTGAGCAATCCCTGAACAGGGAGTGAGAGCGGTATGAGATGCAGCAGTTGCAATAAGCACAACTGCTGACAAACCAAATTCGATAATAAGATCTTTCAATGTCATACTTGAGTTCAAGTAATTTTCATAACTGGTGGTATCATTGACAAGTGATGAACCTTGTTTAACTCCTGCACTCATTAAAATTTTCCTTGCTTCTACATATTCAGGTTTTAGGATATCCAATGACGTTTTACCTTCTAAGTTCTTCTCGATCACATTGAAAAACAATCCGATTAATGGCTTCATAACCTGAAACCACAAACAAGAAGTTTTATAGAATAACCAATAAGGTGTCGCCATCTAGCATAACTTGAAAATGACCAAACTATCCCAACGCTTGGAGGGAAATCTGTAAGTACCTCCACGTTTGAAGAAAGAGGCATGCAAGTCAAATATCTTACTCTCAAATAGATATTTTTTCTAGTTGAAGCATCAAAACTAATAAATTTAGGAGGTGAAAGTCGTTAGAAAATTTATTAATTGTATTTATAATTAATATTCGATTGTGATTGTTTTATCAATAAACTCGTTTAATTCAATTTGTATTGTCAACAAGTACCACTTTTATTCATAAGGGTCAAAATTAATAGTTTAAAGATGGGTAATTGAATAAACTTCTCAAATCTGCCGTCAGTATTCTTTCAAAATTAGAATTATAGCAAGTTTACCAAATACCTAAATAATTTTGATTGTTTGACAATGAAAATTTGGGGCTTTAAAAGTCTGTAAAAAACTAAGCTCAAAGAACCATGCTACATAGGCCATGGTATTGCTAGGGGACACATCTTGGCCCCGATCAAGGGTTAATTGTTGTAATCATCCATTTGTACTCTAAACCTTGAAATCGAGTGAAGATCTACGTTATTTTCTAATTTACTCTTTTCTTTATTGTTTTACTTTTATTTTAGGTATGGTTAATACACAGTTAATTACTTTTAGGTTTCTTAACAAGGTTTTTGATTAAAGTATATAGCCTTTTTTTTTTTTTCCCAGTTAAAACGACGCCTCTCTGTCTTCCAGCTACTGTAATGCTGCTGACTGCCTTAGTGCCTCACGAACCAAAAATCTTGGCTCCACCATTGAATATAACAAACTCGGTTTATCCATGAATTTCAAACTCATAGCCCATAAATGCAAGCCCTTCAATTTAGCCTCCATTTACTAAATTCATAAATCATTTATAAATTGTTCAAATTTCGCAAACAGAGGCTTAAACAGACGCTAAGTTATTACAGCTCAAACGAAAGTTAAAAACTTCCTCAAGCAACACATGAAAATTAAAACAGTAAGACATTACGCACTAAGATGTGCTTTTTGCAATATTGATTGTGAGACATGACAGAACATTTGATGCAGTACCTTCATCGTGATGCTTTCATTTCAGCCATCAGAGTTAATATGGGTCCTTGATTCATACCAAATATGAGAAATTTCTTTAAAAATTGTGATTTTCATATTCCCTGAGAAACCGAGCTCAATGTAAGCACCACATTTGATACAAAAAATCTTCCATCGTTCTATTTGACTTCAAATAATTTTCACAACTGTTAGCATCATCGACAAGTGATGAACCTTCTTTAGCTCCTGCGCTTATTAAACTTTTCCTTGCTTCTACATTTTCGGGTTTTAGGATATCCAACGCCGTCTTACCTCCTAAGTTCTTCTTATTCACATGCACATACTTGATTAATGACTTCAAAACCTGAAACCATAAACAAGACGTTTTATAAAATTATAACTGAACAAAAAAAGGGTTACCTGGTTTAAAGAAGAATGAGAACCATTCTATTTTATTGATTTTTATTAATTTTCTGGTATTTTTAACAAAGCGAATTTATAGATAAGTTTTCTGCATGATGTGTCAATTTGAAAGAGTATCAACTATTGACTGAATGAAGTTTTGATCACGATCACAATCCTCTTCAAGTTTTAGTTTGACCTTGAGACAATTTTGATATTTCCAGTCAAACTTGTAGGTGCGAAAGGTGGATTAGGACTTTGATCACTTTGATTGTAATTGTTTTATCAATAAACTCGTTTAATTCAATTTGTAATGTCAACAAGTACCAATTTTATTCGCAAGGGTCAAAATTAGTAGTTTAATGATGGGTGATTAGATAAACTTCTCAAATCTGCAGTCAGTATTCTTTCAAAATTAGAATTATACCACGTTTATCAAATACCTAAATAATTTTGATTGTTTGACAATGAAAATTTGGGGCTTGAAAAGTGATTTCACACTATGCTTAAATGTTGTAATCATCTATTTGTAGTCTAAACCTTGAAATCGAGTCAAGATCTAGTATATGAGACACCATCAAAGTAGATCTCAACTTGGATGCGGGACTTTTTATTTTTATATGGTAAATATATTTTGAAACTCATTTTTCTCCAAATTAATTTTCTATCAAACATTCTCACCATATAATAATTATTTTTTTACTTTTTAATCACAATTTCTTTAAAAATTGTGATTAAAATACCGTGGACTACAACACTAAGGACATTGTGACATGTTCTTTGTTTCTCTATAGTACAATATGCAATAATTAATACACGCATTGATCTTCACTACTCCAAGGCCAAGACTAGATAACGTTTTTTTTTGTTTTATAAAATGTCACTTCTAACTCGTCACCTTCCGGTAAAATTTCATTAATTATGGACAACATGCGATCATAACACGTTGTAGGTATATTAGATTCAGATTTCAGATTCAAGAGCCTTGCCGTTGTCGAAAGTTTGGTATGCTTACTACATCAAGGCTAAATAGGTTTTGTCGGCTTCTTCTAGGAGTTTAAAGAAATTTGAAGCCTGTTGATTTGTGACATGTTCCACAGGAGCACACTGATCTTGATTGAAAAATTGGTTGAACATCTCAGGGCCCATCGCATTCATTAGCATGTTTTGATGTGTATAGTTCATTGTAACTTGTGTAAATGAGGATTCACCAACATCTAATGTATGATTAACGAGTGGTTCACCATGTGCTATCCATTGTGTATACTTCTAAATCCATTTTTATAAAGATGAAATCTCACTGTACCTCCTTCTAGAAACCTCCTATTGTCACATTTAGAACATGGACACTTAATTTTATCTCCAACTCTCGGTTGTGAAAAGGCAAATTCAATAAACTCTTCAACCCCTTTAATAAGTATGTCCGAAAGAAAACCTTCATCGGCTCATTCAAACATCCAACTCTGTTCAGCCTCCATGTTGTTCAACAATGTTACAGCTATATATTTACACAAAAAGAAAACAAGAAATCTTCTCATTAATAGTACATATGTAACTACACACTATAATAAAGAAAGCATGTGACTAAAGTAACTAAATTCTTTCCATAAATTCTTTAGATGCTTAAGTTCAACTATATACTATAATCAAATTGCATAGTACGGAGAAAATATAAACATAAAAGAGTTAAGAATCAAGACACTGTCAAATATTGAAAGCCAAAAAATAATAACAAAAACGTATAAAATGTTAAGATTTGTAGTTTCATCTTAAAATGTCAACCTTATTAAGAGAAGTAACACAAACTCTTATAAATTGGTCTATGTTTTCATCTTTATTCGATGTGTGATTTTATCTCTTAACATGTCTCCGCAAGATGGTGGCTTATTTGAGCAGGCCAATCTTAAAATTCGTGTGTTCAATTTTTCTGAATCTTAATAGGATCGAATTGCTCGTTGGAGCTTAATGGGTTCTGATACCATGTTAAAATTTGTGGTTCCATCTTAAAAGGTTAACCTTATTAAGAGAAGTAGGCCAAACTCTTATAAATTGGTCTATATTTTCATCTTTATTCGATGTGGGATTTTATCTCTTAAATTATAATGCATTTTTAACACACTATATCATATGGAAATAAATCTTCAAATCAAGAAACTTATCTCTTAAAAAAAGGATTTCACACAAATAATTATAAATTACTCAGCATATTACCTTGAAATGGAAATGCAAAAAATTATGAGTATGATTCAAGCTTGTACCACGATCTATATGAACTCCAAGCTTGATATTTCAATTATTCTTTGTAGAACTACAAAATATAGATAAAATTAGGTATGAGGTCAATTTTGGGGGGAGGAAGAAAAGTAGCTGGGGTGTGAGTTCGAGTTTTGGGAGAAGGAAGAAAAATAGCTGTAAATTGGGACTTTATTTTTAGGCTCAAAACTGACACAGATGGGACCTCGGGTCCAATATTAATGACGGAATCACCAATGGAAATATTAGTTGGTATATTTTTAAGTGAATTAAAATTTTTTTTATTCCAAATTTTCCTACGGAAAATTCCATCAGCAAAAAAATTATAACATATATATATATATATATATATATTTTTTTTTTTTAATTCAAAGTTTACCAACGGAATACCTATGGAAAATCACTGACAACTGGTATATGTTGTTGTTTCCGTC